GAGCGCCAAACTATGAGGCCACGGAGCAAAGGCCATTCGTCATTGAGACGGACGCTGGGCCAACTGCCTTAGGAGGAGTCCTGATTCAGGCAGACACTGAAGGGAAGGAGAGGCCGCTAAGGTTCGAAAGTCGCACTCTCAATACAACTGAGAGGAACTACTCTCAGTTCAAGAAGGAGACACTGGCGGTACTTCATTGCCTGAGGATCTTCCGAAACTATGTTTTCGGCAGGAGGCTCATTTTGAGGGTGGACCCCACTGCACTTGCATGCTCCCTTAAAAATTACACTCCATCTGACCCAACCGTCGCAAGATGGTTGACCTACATTTGGATGTTTAATTTCGAGCTGGAAAGGATTCCAGGGAACAAGAACAGGGCGGATGGGTTAAGCCGCATCAACTGGGACGGATCGGACGAGGAATCGATAGAAGACGCCCCATCAGTTGATGGGTTTTTGGACCAAGAGGAGGACGTCCGCCTGCATATAAACGAATGGTCCCTGCGAGTACCCAGTTGCGTCAGCCACCCTATATGGTTAGCGCCAAAGGGGTACGAGCAGAAGGTAGAGTTGGTCCTTAAGCCTTTTCAGGAGGAGGATCCGTGGGGGAGCAAGGATGTTGGTTGGATGATGAAATTGGCATTGGTAGGAACGCACAGCCTGGTGGAGGAAATGAGGACGATAGAAGAAGGCCCCACTCAGGTAGAGGAGCATGAGCAGCTAATGGGAGGGATGTACCTGCTCACCAATACTCTCCTGCAAGGAGACTTTGACCGGAAGGGCGCGTTCAGTCATGAGGAAAATGAGATTCTAGTTCCTGAAAGCCAGGCCGACGAATTCGAGGAAGGAGAAATCAAGGAGGCATTTCGGGCGGAGGAGTACGATGGGATCTACCGGGAATTGGGGTTGCTCCTATCATGTGAGATGAGGGATAGAGATGCAAGTGCCAAGACACAGAAGATGAGGCACCTCTATGTGGTAAGAGATGGCCACTTGTCTATAAAGCGGCAGGTCGGGAACCCCAAGAGGATCATATATGGGAGGAACCGACAAATTGATATCATAGCAGCCCTACACGATGGTATAGCGGGGGGGCACAGAGGAGTAGGTGCCACATGTGCGAAGATAAGCGATCTCTATCATTGGGACGGGATGCTGGCGATGGTTATCAAATACTTCCGGTCCTGTATACCTTGCCAAGAGAGGTTAGTGCAAAGGCCTGGAGAGCCCCTACACCCAAGGTTGGAAAGAGAAATGGGTGCGGTCGTACACTTGGACCTGTTATTCATGCCAGCAGGGGAGAATGGGTGTAACTACATCTTCGATGCACGGAATAACCTTATTGGGTTTGTGGACGGAAGAGCTATCCGGACGAAGACCGGACCGGTTTTGGCGAACTGCATCGAGGAGTATTACCTGCGATATCCTTTTGTCAAAGAGTTCGTGATGGATCGAGGATCAGAGTTTACCTGCAATGAGGTCAGGACGTTGCTTGCAGGGTATGGCATAGTGGCCAACTATACTACGGCCTCGCACCCTCAAGCGAACGCTCCTGTGGAGAGGGGACACAGTACCATCACGAATCTTCTGGCTAAGTGGACAGACGGCAAGCCTGGTCAGTGGCCAAAGTTCCTAAGGACAACTTTCTTCGTGGAAAATGTTACTGTAATGAGGACTACCAAGTACGTGCCAGCCACACTATGGTATGGGAGGCACGCCACCTTTCCCATATAAAGCTTTATGAAGACGTGGAGACGCCAAAACTTGGAAGTAAACCTATCCTTCAAAGAACTACTCGATATTCGGGCGCGGCAAGTGGGGGCGGCCGAAGAAAGATTGCGAGAGACCGCTGGTCAGGTAGAAAGGAGTCGCATGGAAGATAAGATGAGGTGGGACCAGATGGCGCGAGTAAGGAAGGAGCCATTGGCAGTAGGGGATGTCGTATTACTGTACTACTCCTCTTTGGAAAAACAATGGTCGAGGAAGCTTGACAAGAGATGGTTGGGCCCCTATAGAATCTTGCGATGCGGCGAATTTGGGGCCTATCAGATCGAGGAGTTGGATGGGACAGGCTGGCAGGACTGGGTATCGGGGACCAGGCTGAAGAAGTTTGTGGCCARGGAATAGGTAAAGAATACTACCTTCCTCAGAGGGAACTAGTCCTTAAGGTGTTGCATGGTATGATTAGGACAGGTGAAGGAGTAGGAAAAGGCATGTGTGTTGTCATAAAAACCTGATGAACCAAGGGCTAACCTTGTTCTGTGCCTGCTTGCTTTCTCTCGCCTGTTGTGCAGGTCTGACTTTTCGAAGACAGCCATGCAGAGGGGCGGGAGGGGCGCGCGGCMACGATAGAGGCCTCAGGGAGCATCAGGAGGGGATGACTCGCGCAGACCGTTTGGGAGGGAGCCTACGTCTATCTTCGACGACAATAACACAGAGCTTTTTCTGGACTCCTACCAGACACATGCGGCACGGGAGGGCTGGTCTACCTTGGAGAGGATATGGCACCTGAGGGGAGTTGGGCATTTTGAGGAGCCTATTGCGCATATCCGGGAGGAGGCTTTGACCTGGCAGGATGTGGAGGCGAGGATGCAGATGTTGAGGGCTTCGCCGTTGGGACCGGATGGGCTGCCTATTCGATTGGAGGAAGGCAATGTGGAAGAGTTCATCCCGGCCTATGAGCAGTATATGAGCGACCAGGGGACTGGGCAGGAGGAGTGGATGCAGACGCTGCCCCTCTGGACGCGGAGGGCGGAGAGGCCGTTGGCGAGGCAGATCCGGGACAGGGCACGCGACTGGGAGGACTGCCAGGCCCAGTCGAGACAGGCATTTCGACGATTGGAGCCTGAGAGACCAGAGCCCAGGGTGGAGAGACGACAGAGGAGTAAGAGGGCACGAGGCCCAGAGGCGAGAGGGGCCATTACGACCAGAGGGGGCCAGCGGAGGCCGCCCAGGCGGTGGAGCCAGTTCAGGTCGCGGGGCCAGCTCAGGCGGCGGAGCTACCCCCTACTCATGGACTCGAGCGGGTGGAGTTTCGCCGGATCGCGGGCAGTGATCTACGGGGCCCGTCGCCGACATTACCAGAGGAGGGAGAGGTTGTGCCATTGAGGACGCCACTCGACAGGTTGGAGGCTCATCTCGGTGCGTCCCAGTGGGGGGCATCACAGCTGGGAGCGGACCAGAGCGGGCCGGCACGGTATGAGTCAGTAGAGGATGAGCCAGAGGAGGAGCTACCTGAGCCGGGGCCTGAGGCGGGGTCTCGCGAACCCAGGAAGCCGCAGACTGAGGGGGTTATCACTGTTGGGGATGATACCCCTCCTCCTACCCCGATTCCGGAACAGGCATGACAGTATTGGCCTGAAGGAATTCCTGAGCTGGACAGCGAGGAAATGTTGGGGCCTCCATCGGAAACTACTACGCCACCTCCGACGCAGGCGGAGCCAGAGGAGGGCGAGGGAGCGAGGACACCTACGACTATGGTACCACATCTAACTGAGCCTACAGGTGAACGCATGAATGTGGAGGTGCCGACATCCGGGGAGCCTCCGCCAGGGCCGCCACCCATAGAGGAGGGGACGAGTGAGAGAGACCCATTGCGAGAGGCCCATGAGGCGCGGGCAAGGAGGCCATCAGGGGAGACGAAAGAAGAAAAGCGCGCGAGAGTGCAGGTACGCCTCGAGGAGTTATACCAGGAGAAGCTTAGGATGGAGGCCGCAGGAGAACCCCCAAAGCCGCAAATTGACCCTCCGACGAGGGAGCAGCGGATTAGCGAGGCTTGGGCCAGTTATGAGAGAGAGGGATGCTGCTCGCCTGAGGTCGCGAGAGGTAGGACAGGAGAGTGCGAGGGTGGACGAGGCACGAGAAACAGAGGACTTGGGATTTTCAGCCGCCAGGATGGAGATTGAGCGTGCAGACAAGAGGATAGGTGAGGTGGCGATCTCGTCCTTCCAACGGTACTCCATGCTCAACGATGAGTTGGCGGCCTCGAAGTTAGAGGTGGGACAGTTGTCCACCCAGTTGGCAGAAGAGAGGGCAGAGAACCAAGCATGGAGGTCCCGTATGGAAGTCAAGGAAGCGGAATGGGAAAAGAGGCTCCAGGACATGGCGGCAATGGTAGAGAGGCTCTCGGCCACTAAGGTGGTTGACTGGACGGAGCAGAGCCGGTATGGTATCCAGGGGAAGGAGGTACAAGGGCTCTTTGGCCAGGAAGGAACAATAGAGACGGCACAGCAAAAGGGAATGGGAAAGGTATTCCTGGACCCAACAGAGGCGGCGGGAAGGCGGGAGGCCGAGGAGAGGAGGTTCAACTTCAAGACTCCCACGGAATTGGCCTCGCAACAGGCCACCGCTATGACGTTTGAGGTTCCTGGGGAAGAGCTGGCGCAGAGACCCCAACCTCCAGTGGCGGAGGGGGGCCCGACAGAGGAGTCCCCTACGATCCTTTTGGAGGTGCCGGAGGGTGCCCTTGCGGGAGTAGCAGCATCCACTGAGCCGGAGGCAATGGGGGGAGAGGCGTCTCGACTGGATGAGTTAGTGGCAGCCATGGAGCTGGACATGCCGTCAGGAGGGCCTCAGAGACAGGAGACCCCGGAGCGCGTGCCAGAGATAGGAGAGTTGAGGACGCGGTTGGGCTCTTGGGCCACTGGGACTGACTCAGGAGAGCACATCTCAGAGCAGCAGCAGGAAGTTATGAGCGAGCCAGCGATTGCCGTGACTCCCCAGCCTTCTGACTTGCATAGGAACGAGGGGGCGACTGCGATGGGAGTCCGCGAGGGTAGGCCACTGAGATTGGACACTCCAGCGTACCGACCCGAGGGAGATGAGATGTTAGCAGGGCCGAGTACCTAGATGATGGACGCAGGGMCGGCAGAGTCATGGAGTATGCCCCAGAGTCACGAGATGAGCAGGGAAACTAGCGAGACGCCGCCGTTGCCTGGGTCCCAGAAGAGGAAGAGGAGGTGTCGGGGGAGATCAGACGATCAGTGCTTCTTCTGCAAGGACGGCATACGTAGGGCTCTTGAATGCCCGAAGTTTCTTAAGGACAAGGCGGCTGGGAAAGTGACAGAGAGTGGTGGGAGGATGTACGACAGACAGGGGCGAGTGGTAGAGCAGGCTCCAGATGGGGGTAGGGCACAATTGTATAGGYAGAACCAGGAGGCCATGAGTGAGTAGGGGCTGGCCTGTCTATATGACARTACGACAAGAGTTCCTCTGTACCCTGAGGTCGGGTTAGGGATGTACGTACTTTGAGTCGGTTGGGTGGGTTCTAGGGGGTGTGCACGTCTGAGTTCGCCATGGAAGTCCTGTCTAGTTGTACATACATAGGTGGCAGAGCTCAATCGGTCATTGGGTTTTGTGTGTGATATAGTTCAGCGGGTGAGATTCAGTTGTGAGATACCTGTGACTGTGTGATTTGTATATTAGGTTTGGAGGTTTGGAAACCTTCTTTACTTATCTGATTGGGTCCTGAGAGTCATAACATTTGGGGTGTGAGTCCACCCTGTAGAGTGTACAGGGGACTGAGTGCTGAGTTGTTCACTGGGGCGGGCATCCTATTCCTAGATATATCCTAGGAATTGTGTGTGTGAAAGCTTGAATTGAGTGTTGTATTGAGACTTGGAGGATATATTTTGCTCCCGAGTATATTTTGATTACACCCTCTGTGGGATTTACTCTTGTGACGATCACGATCACTCTCACATGTATGGCTTTATCCCAATGAATGAGGGCTTTGTGTGAGAGATGTGTGGGATACATCTCATGGGTATGTATTATGTGATTGTGATTGTCGTCTACTCCCCGGTATACTCGTGCGGCCTGTCCATGGGCGGGTGGAATGGCCGAGTATAAGGGGAGGTAGTGCGGTTGTTTTGTGGCAAATGTGTGAGGACCCTAAGGGGTCTTGCGAGCCTATAAGCCTCGAATGCTTACCATGCCGAATGTTTATGGCTAAGTTGTAAAAGGGACCCATAAGTTGGTCCCCCAGTTTGAGTTGTTTTGCATATGAGTTGACAAAGAGGACCCTTAAGTAGGCCCTCAGTGAGTTATTCTATGGTGGAGACCCCCTTCGGATTATGGAGGGTGGAAATGTTGATTATTGACGGTTATACAACCGAGGTCRCGTGATAGCTCATCCTATGAGAAGGGAGGGATGGCTGGGAGACCTATTAAGAGAGACCCCCTTCATGTGACAAGTGGGTAATAGATTTAATGCCTCTGATCAAGTCAAGTAGGCCACGGCCTGGTGTGAGCCTAGCGATGAATCTGGTTGTGATTGTGAAAAGGAGGCCACGCTTCCTGTGTATCCCATAGGGGGCTGGTGAAAGCCTTTAAAGTGAGACAGACCCTTGCGTAGTCCCGCAGCGGGCCTGTGATCTGTTTTGCAACGCACCGTCTAGACACCTGTGCTAATCCTAAGGCATATTGAGGAATACCAAGCTAGACGGTAAAGGCTAGCACCCCTAGGGCGCAACCCCTATTGGATGGCTGCAAGCCAGCACAACCTGGTTGCGGGCCCACGTGTACCAGCAGAGTAAGAGTTTAAGAGGTTATGCACGCCCCAAGGAAATTACTCTGGTGAAATGCCGGGGGATACGAGTCGAGTTGTTTGGGCGCCCTGATTGAATGCCTATCAGGAGAAAACCTATCGTTGCATAACCAACGAAGGGACTGCCACTAAGATAACAATGCAGTGGGCCGTAGATCTGGCTCGATCAACCAGACTATGGTAGGCCAGGATGAGACCTAGCGTTTCTGTACTGAACTGCAGAAAGAGCTGAGAGGAGATTTATATATGTATAAATATATGTTTGATTGTGAGGATTTTTGGGAGGGAGGCGAGAGTGTCGTCTGAGGTCTCGTCTAAGGCCCGCGTCCCCGTATGACTTTGCTCGTAAGAGAGGGTCTAACTAGGACACCCAACGAAAAGCCGGCGTTTGTCTAGGACGAAGGGGAAAGGACGGTTTGAGGTGGCCCTTGGAACTTATGTTGTAGCATTGATGCGTAATACACCTGCGTCCTAGTGTCAGGACAACGGAAACCCAGGTTGAAACCCTGACAGCATATACTTATGTCGGCATGGAGTGTTGGAGGCCTCGACCCGAGTCTATCGGCTAATCGGAATTGGTTACGCTCTCGTCAGCATTTGGAGTGTGAATGAGTTTGTAGCTTTCTGATTTTGCATAGTGACGGGGACATCGCTTAATATAGTCCGGTAGGCTGTCAGCGCGAATACCCTTACAAGGGTATCCGCCCTGGTTTTTGCAAATGACAAAAAAATGGGTTTGGTCGGCATAAGTCAGGCGAGGTAAGGCCTCGTCCGGGACCCGTCCCAACTAAGTTAGAGGGTATGTGGGCGCGCAGTTTTAAGGCGCGCGTGTGATTTTCCTGATTGAGTGAGCGGCCGGTCTAGTCAACGGACCAGAACCGAGCTACGGTTTTGTCTAGGGGATGAAAGCTCATTTTTGGTTGGCACGCGTGACCGACGGTGGGACTGGCACGTCACTAGGCACACGGGGTGGTGACGGTGCGGTCCGAGTAGGCCGGTGCGGGTGTCGGGTGTTGGTGCGCCAGTTGCACGTGAGAAGGGAGSGCCTAGGTTGTCGTCCCCAGGCCTAAGCATGGCGCAACACCACTTCACATAGGAATCCGCGCCTACTGGTTCCACGCTGGGGCATAGCCCTATGGGTTACAACATGGGACTTTCGCTACGAAGGTACGGGGATCCTCGGCCTATTCGTTTGCTTTTTAGAGTTCTATGGTTGGACGTTATAGTCTGTGGCAGCCGTCAAAGTCAAACCCCTTGACGTCTGACCGCCATGACAGCTTAAAGCTATCTACTCAACCCCTCTGCATAGGGTGCAGAAGAGGGTGTGGTTCTCAACCGCGCATGGCGGATGTCTAGCRTCGGGAGATTAACCCTCCAGGYGCGTGTCAGCCGACACTTGAGTGTCGAACGCGACCCTCGAGATTAACGAGGGCCGCACGAGTATAAGTACTACATAGCAYGCCATCATTGTGACTGCTTGCGTACGTTGCATTGCGAGCCAATATGGGTTAGCCCTGCGTCCGTGCGGTTTTACACTAAGTCTCGCGCGCGACGCCTATCCGATTTCCGCGTCGGAAAGTTATGGGATGGTTACCGAGGGGCTAGGAGCGTTGTCGCGTTGTTTGCATTGTGTCGTTTCGTGTGTGTGTGTGCGTTTTATTTTTGTGTTCGTAAAATGGTGTGCTCGTGGTGTGTGGGGTGCGTCCTAGTCGACCGACTTCGGGCCACGCTTGGGACTTCAGCCCCCCCAAGATGTCGGTTCGCGTGCGGGTCAGACAGGCGTATTACCGCGCGTACCCCCTATGCTACAGCGAACGAGAAACGCCCTCGGCTGGTCCACCTCTGCGATTGCAACCGAGTAGCTT